TGGGGAAGTAGGAACACAAACAAAAACCTGAAATTTTAACTAAACAATGAAAAAACACCCCGGTACTAACCCAACCCCACAAAACAGGGATTAATGCTTAATAAAAAAAAGTGAAGGAGGTATATAAATCCCCGCCGGACTCGGTTAACTTGGGCAACTTTTACAAACCCACTTTGGGCCAACTAAAAAAATGCAAACCCAAGGCCCCAGGATATTCCTGAAAAACCCCCCGGTGCCAACCCAACTCCCCAAATGGTAGTCGGGAGCCTTAATCCGTTGCCACACACCACAAAGGAAGTGAAGGAGGTATTGTTCCCGCCGGACCGGTGGTTTTGGGCAAGCTTTTTCTCCCCACTTTGGGGAACTGGGAAACAAATCAACAATGAATGGTCTAGGACTAATAAAGAAAAACCAACCCCCAAATCTGAAATCCCACAATTATTAAATTAATGTTAATAAAAAAAAGGATAGGATATATAAATTCCCCCGGATGGATGGTAATTTGGGTAGATTTAAAAAATATTTTTGGGGAAGTGAGGAAAAAAAAAAAGTAATGGTAGGATAATAAATGAAAAAAAGAATATGGAAAATATAAAATTATTAAATTAATTTAATAGAAATAAAATGATACCATATATAAATTATCATGGTATCTTATAGATTTTATAAATATATTTTTGGGACAGTAGGAACCAAAATCAAACAACCTGAATTGAGGACTAATAAAGAAAACTCAACCCCCGAAGGATCGAACCCATATAAAAATTATTAAGGGATTAATTTGAATAAGGAATAAAATATAGGGGTATATAAATTGGGAATATTTAATTTATAGATTTTAAAATATATTTTTAATAAAAAATGAAAAATAATTAGGATATATAAATAAAAAAAGAATATGAAAATATAAATGGTATTACAATTATTTAATAAAATAAAATATACCGATATATAATTCCCCCGGGGGGAATTTGGGATAATTTTATAAATATATTTTTGGGGAATGAGGAAAAAATGAAAAATGAATGGTAGGATATATAAATGAAAATAAAAATGATAAATATCCCAAATGGTATTAAGGGATTAATGTTGAATAAAATAAAATGATACCAGGTATATGAAATTCCCCCGGGATGGATTAATTTGGGCAATAATTTTATAAATATATTCTTAATGAAAAAAATGAAAAAAGTAATTCCCCAATATATACAATGAAAACTAACCCCAAAGTATAAATATCCCCAAATGGTTAAAGTTAATTTAAATAAGGAATAAAAGTATACCAGGTAATGAAATTGGGAAATTTTAAAAAGGAAAAAATTTTTTTTTAAATAAATTAAATTTTTGGGCCCTAGGAAAAAAAGAAAAATTTTAAATTTTTCCCGGGTTTTTTAATTGAAAAATTTAAAAAAGTTTTTAAATTTTTTTAAAAAATTATTTTAAAAACTTTTTTTAAAAAAAATGGGGAATTTAAAAATACCCAAAATTTCCCTTTTTTTTTGGGGGGGTTTAATTTTAATTTTTAAAATTTAAAATTTTTGGGGGATTTAAAAAAATAAAACCTTGTTTTTAAATTTTTAAATTTCCCAAAAAAATGATTTAAAAATTTAAATTTAAAGTTAAACGGGAAAATTTTTTTTTAAAGGGGGTTTTAAAATTAAAATTCCGGGGATTTTTTTTTTTTTATTTTTTTAATTCCTTTTTTTTTGAATTTGAAAAATTTTAAAAAGGAAGGGAAAAAACTATTTAAAAAGAAAAAAAAAAATTTAAATTTTATTTTTAAAAATTTGGTTTTAAAAAAAATTTTTTTTTAAACCCTTTGGGAATTTAGAAAATTTTTTTTATTTTAAACCGGGAATAAATTTTTTTCCCCCCATTTTTAAAAAAATAGATTTTTATAAAATTTTAAAATTCCCAAAAAAAAAAAAAAATTTTTTTTGGATTAAAAATTAAAATTTTAAAAAATATTTAAAATTTTTTTTTTAATTTTGGGAAATTTTTAATTTTTTTAAACCCCAAAAAAATTTTAAAACTATTAAAATTTTCCCCGACCTTTTTTTGGGTAAATTTTTTCCCTTTTTTTGGGAAAATTTTGACAAAAATTTAAAAAAAATTTTTTTCTTTTTTTTAAATTTAAAAATTTAAAAAATTTTAAATTTTTATTCCCAAAAAGGGTTTTAAAAAACCCTTAAATTTAAATGGGGGAATTTAAAATATACCCCTATAAACCCTTTTTTTTTTAAAAATTAAAATAATTTGGGATGGGGGAATTTTTTATTTTTTTTTTTTTTTTTTTTTTTTCCCCCTTTTTTTTTTTTTAAAAAAAAAAGGGGAATTTTTGGGTTTTTTTTAAAAAAAAATTTTTTTGTATATTGATATTTTTAGTTTTATTGTATATATTGGGGAATTAAATTTTTAAAAATTTTTTAATTTAAAAATAATTATTTTATAAAATTATAAAAAAATTTAAATTTTAAAAATTTGGTAATTTTTTAAAATTTTTTGGGTTTAAAAAAAATAATTTTTTTAAAAAAATTTTTTTAAAAGATTTTTAATATTTTTAAATTTTATTAATTATATTATTTTTTTTTTTTTTAAAATTTTTAAAAAAATAAAATTTAAATAAAAATTAAATTTTAAAAAATTAATTAATTTAAATTTTATATATTTTAAAATTTAAAAAAAATTTTTATTTTTAAAATTTAAAAAAGGGTTTTGGGTTTTTTTTAAAAGGGGAAAAAATTTGAATATTTTTTTGGATTTATATAATTTTTAAAAATTATTTTTTGAAATTTGGGTTTTAAAAAACCCCCAAAAAAAAAATTTGGGTTTTTTTTTTTTTAAATTTTTTTTTTTTTTTTGGTTAAATATTATTTAAAATTTTTTTATTTTGGGTTTTTAAATTTTGGTTTTAATTTTTAAAATTTAAATATTTTTAGTATTTTTTTAAAAATTTTAAATTTTTTTTTGGGAAAATTAATTTTTTTTGATTTTTTTTTGTGAGGAACACAAATGCGAACAAGCCTGAATGGTCCCCAGGACTAAAAGGGGACAGAATGGTGCTTCTGTAGTTGCCTGGAATCTTTCCTCCTTCTGCAATAAGTTCTGCTTGTAAGGTGTCCTTGGTGGTGACCTTCTTTTGTGTCTCGAGGTCGAATATGTCGTCCAACAGGATCTCCAACTCCACTTTCCGAGCCATCTCACTCGGTCTGGACATAACGTGACAGTTTATATTCAGATTTAGGAGAGTGACTTGGTCCTCAGTGAGGTTGATTCCAGCAAGGTTCAGGAAGCCATCTCTTGGTCGTGCAATCGCCATAGGTCCTCCATATAATGTTGTTAGTTTCTTGATTATCCTGGTTTCGGTGCTGTGGTGGTGTCGATCTGTGAGGATGTCGAGGTGTTGCTCGATACGAGTACGGAGGTTTTCGTCGATGTTGCTGTTTCTCCATTAGTTTGTAGCGTGACGTAGTTGCGTTTTGTTGTCTTTGATTTCATTTTCTGCCTTGTGTATCTGATTTCGAATCAGATCCTGGCGATATTTTATCGTGAAGGCTTGATTCCTTGCTGCTGGGTCGTGCGTTTTAAGATTAGTATATTTTGGTAGCAGTCTTTCTTGTAAACATTTATTATTAAATATGACCGAAAAAGTAAGATTAATAATTCTAACACGAATTTTCTCAATATTTCTTATGTTTCTTTTCACTGTCGATGGTAATTGAAAAATCAATTCTCCAAAATTCATTTTTATTTTTACTCTGACGCGACACTTGAACGCGTTTCGTAATAACTTATTACATTTTCAAAGACTTTAGTTTACACACACACAACTATAACCTGCAAACACTAAACAGAGTTCTACTCTGCTATCATTTAAACAGCTTTCATTTTATATACCCGCATTTGGGTGAGGTGATATGTTACAACAGTTTTGGATGAGGTGAACAAAAATTTCAACACAAGATAGAGCAAACTTTCAACACTAGACGGAACACGGTGCATTGGGTATAAATTGGGTAAATTAAAGGGAAGAATGGAAGTAACTGCAAAGGGCCTATTGGCCCATATTTCTTGATGCGGAGTCTTGAAGTGGTGAAGAATATAGTTGTGCATTAATTGGCTGTTGATTGCTGGTGTTGACTTCTTAATGTGTAGTACCTCGCAGATGTCAAGCCGCCTGCTATCGCTGTATCTATCGATGATTTCTGTGTTGTTTGTTAAGATTTCTCTGGTGATGGTCTGGTTGTGGGAAGAGATTATATGATCCTTAATGAAGCCCTGTTGCTTATGCATCGATAATCGCCTGGAAAGAGATGTTGTTGTCTTGCCTATATACTGAGTTCTTTGAGCCTTACAGTCCCCAAGTGGGCATTTGAAGGCATAGACGACATTGGTCTCTTTCAAAGCGTTCTTCTTTGTGTCTGGAGAGTTTCTCATGAGTAGGTTGGCCGTTTTCTTGGTTTTATAGTAAATCGTCAGTTGTATGTAAATGTAATAAGTTATTAAGAAACGTTTTCAGGCGTCGCATCAGACTAGAAATAGAAATGAATTTTGGAGAATTGATTTTTTAATTACCGTCGACAGTGATAAGAAACATAAGAAATATTGACAAAATTCGTGTTAGAATTATTAATCTTACCTTTTCGGTCATATTTAACAGCATATATATATATATATATATATATATATATATATATATAATATATATATATATATATATATAATAGGTATATCAATGGCAACCCAACGCACAAATTGTTATTTACTTTTGCTTTAGTAAAAAAGTAAGATTTAGTCTATCAACGTCAACTGTGTACTTTCTACTCTTTTTCCTCTGAATATATTTCGTGTATGAGTAAATCCAGTGTTTAAATATATATATATGTCAGGTCATCTGCTCTCTGAGTACATGCCAATATGTGTGTGTAATGCTCCTGTATCTAGTACACCTCACTGGTAAGAGTGTACCCCATTCTTAAGTGTAATATCTTCACCAACAGTGTCGCACACGACGGACGACCTCGTCTTCATCTGGGACCCTGAGGTCCCAGTCGAGGTGGAGCGAAGCATCGAACTCCCACAGCTGGACCTGGTGAAGAAGTACACTGGTGACTGCACCCAGGTCTACTCCACAGGTCAGGTCTACTCCACAGGTCAGGTCTACTCCACAGGTCAGGTCTACTCCACAGGTCAGGTCTGCTCTACAGGTCAGGTCTACTCCACAGGTCAGGTCTTCTTCACAGGTCAGGTCTACTCTACAGGTCAGGTTAACTCCACAGGTCAGGTCTACTCCACAGGTCAGGTCTACTCCACAGGTCAGGTCTGCTCCACAGGTCAGGTCAACTCCACAGGTCAGGTCTACTCCACAGGTCAGGTCTGCTCCACAGGTCAGGTCAACTCCACAGGTCAGGTCTACTCCACAGGTCAGGTCAACTCCACAGGTCAGGTCTACTCCACAGGTCAGGTCTACTCCACAGGTCAGGTCTACTCCACAGGTCAGGTCTACTCCACAGGTCAGGTCTACTTCACAGGTCAGGTCTACTCTACAGGTCAGGTCTACTCCACAGGTCAGGTCTACTCCACAGGTCAGGTCTACTCCACAGGTCAGGTCTACTCCACAGGTCAGGTCTGCTCCACAGGTCAGGTCTACTCCACAGGTCAGGTCTACTCCACAGGTCAGGTCTACTCCACAGGTCAGGTCAACTCCACAGGTCAGGTCAACTCCACAGGTCAGGTCTACTCCACAGGTCAGGTCAACTCCACAGGTCAGGTCTACTCCACAGGTCAGGTCTACTCCACAGGTCAGGTTTACTCCACAGGTCAGGTCTACTCCACAGGTCAGGTCTACTCCACAGGTCAGGTTTACTCCACAGGTCAGGTCAACTCCACAGGTCAGGTCTACTCCACAGGTCAGGTCTACTCCACAGGTCAGGTCTACTCCACAGGTCAGGTCTACTCCACAGGTCAGGTCTACTCCACAGGTCAGGTCTACTCCACAGGTCAGGTCTACTCCACAGGTCAGGTCTACTCCACAGGTCAGGTCTACTCCACAGGTCGGGTCTACTCCACAGGTCAGGTCTACTCCACAGGTCAGGTCTACTCCACAGGTCAGGTCTACTCCACAGGTCGGGTCTACTCCACAGGTCAGGTCTACTCCACAGGTCAGGTCTACTCCACAGGTCAGGTCTACTCCACAGGTCAGGTCTACTCCACAGGTCAGGTCTACTCCACAGGTCAGGTCTACTTCACAGGTCTAACCTGTTCTATAAGTAGAGATTTACCCCACATGTCAGGTCATATTTACACCGAAGGCTAGTTAGATCTGCTTCACAAGACAGCTAATCAAGTCTACATCTTAACAATTCCTAACATTTCTCACCCTGCTGAGAGTCACACTCACCTGTATGAAGGCCTGTCAGTGAATATTGTATTTATGTTAGAATGTATAAGCCAATGTAATGAGATTGATATTTATGTATATCTTTATTTTAATGTATTATTTCTGTCAAATAACAGTGGGTCTTGAAGCCCTTCGACACCATGCATGTTGACAGTGGTTCAGAGTTACGTGAGACAATATGGGGATAATTCTTGAATAATTTATCCCCAACACTGTGGCTTCAAAAGAAAAATAATAGTATCTACTTTTATAGATAATAATCCAAATTTTAATATCACCTCGGGAGAGTATTTATTAGATTTGGTTTGCCATTAGGCAACTTGAAGGTTACTACCTGTTGCTGGCACCTTACACCCTGGACATCTCACTTGATGGCATAGAAGCCGCTACATAGAAGCTGCTACATAGAAGCTGCTATGCATTTGGGCCTCGTAGCCTGGTGGATAGCGCGCAGGACTCGTAATTCTGTGGCGCGGGTTCGATTCCCGCACGAGGCAGAAACAAATGGGCAAAGTTTCTTTCACCCTGAATGCCCCTGTTACCTAGCAGTAAATAGGTACCTGAGAGTTAGTCAGCTGTCAGGGGCTGCTTCCTGGGGGGTGGAGGCCTGGTCGAGGACCGGGCCGCGGGGACACTAAAAGCCCCGAAATCATCTCAAGATAACAGCTGTTATTCTCACTCACTGCTGAAGAGGGTCCCGGGTTGGCACTGATATATTCAGTTTACCTTATTGTGTGTTCAAAACTGTGGGTCATTATTCCACTGATTAATGTGCTACTGCGCCTCATTCTCATGGGTGCTACTGCACCTCATTCTCATGGGTGCTACTGCACCTCATTCTCATGGGTGGTTCAAAGGTTACTTTACCGCAGAATATTTCTTTACCACAATCGTGTGTAAAAATTAAGATAATGAATTAAACAATAACACAATTAATAAAAACATATGATTCAAAAATTCAAACTAAAATACATTTAAAATATTTTTGACTTTGTTTATTTTGATTTTGATTTAGTTCATACGACTGTAGTAATATATAGCACATGTGGTAATGTATAGCACATGTGGTACTGTATAGCACATGTGGTACTGTATAGCACATGTGGTACTGTATAGCACATGTGGTACTGTATAGCACATGTGGTACTGTATAGCACATGTGGTACTGTATAGCACATGTGGTACTGTATAGCACATGTGGTACTGTATAGTACATGTGGTACTGTATAGCACATGTGGTACTGTATAGTACATGTGGTACAGTATAGCACATGTGGTACTGTATAGTACATGTGGTACAGTATAGCACATGTGGTACTGTATAGTACATGTGGTACTGTATAGCACATGTGGTACTGTAGTCACCTAATTGTGCTTGCGGGGGTTGAGCTTTGGCTCTTTGGTCCCGCCTCTCAACTGTCAATTAACTGGTGTACAGATTCCTGAGCCTACTGGGCTCTATCATATCTATACTTGAAACTGTGTATGGAGTCAGCCTTCACCACATCACTTCCTAGTGCATTCCATTTACTAACTACTCTGACACTGAAAAAGTTCTTTCTAACGTCTTTGTGGCTCATTTGGGTACTCAGCTTCCACCTGTGTCCCCTTGTTCGTGTCCCACCCGTGCTGTATAGCACATGTGGTACTGTGCTACACTAAGGGGGGGGGGAAAGTTGACGTGCCTGGGTCTTCTGTCTATCGTCCATCTCCCCATCTGTCCATCTACCCATCTACCAATCCAATGATATATTTATATATCTATCCATCTCTCGATCTACTTATCCACCTATATATCCTTCTATCAATCCATCTATCCATTTATCTCTCCATCCATCTGTCTCCATCTATTTTTCCATCCAAACCTTCCATCTATTCATCAATCTATCCAACTATTTATTCATCTATCTATCCATCCATCCATACCCATTCATCTGTCCGTTAATTTCTCCATCTATCCATCTTCTAGCCATCAGTCTTTCCATGTATCTAACCATCTATCTATCCATCTATCTAACCATCTATCAGTCTATCCATCCATCTATCTATCAGTCTATCCATACATCTACCAATCTGTCTGTCCATCTCTCCATCTATATATTCATATGTCTATCTATCTGTTTATCCATCTTTCAATCTATCTATTTATCTATCTATCCATCCATCTATATATACATCAGTCTCTCAATTCATCTATTCGGTAATACTGTATGACTATCTATTTATATATCCATATATATGTGCATCTACCCATCCATTTATCCGTGTATCTATTTATCTGTCCATATATCAATCCATCTATCTATCCGTCCATCTGTCAATCCATCTATCACTTATCAATCTGTTCTTCTATTTTTCTCTCCTGCCTTCTATGTATCTATCCATTCTGTCCCTATCTATCCATATGTCCCTATCTATCCATCTATCTATCCATCTGCCCCTACATCTGTACATTCATGTACTCGTCTACATATCCAGTCATGTACTGGTGTATCTATCCATCATTTATTCATGTAACTGTCCATCTATTTATTTATCTATACACCTACCTATCTATCCATCTATCTACCCGTCCATCTATCCATCACTCGATGTAACTATCCCTCAATCTGTGTAACCATCCATCAAATAATCAATCCATGTATCCAATTCAATTATTTTCACTTTGTCTTCCTTCATTTTAGCGTCAAATTTCCGTGTTAAAAGATATTGGAGCCAGACCTATTGTTTCCCGCTCCAGGAGAACATTAAATTTAAGCGGACAATTTCTCAGCCCGTGACTCGGGAACACAAACTCCAGAAAACTGTCCCGGGGGTAGACGGTGTGGGCTGGGGGGGGGGGAAGGGGAGATGGAATGGCAGGGAAAAGAGAGAGGGACGGTAGCCCATCCTCAGGCTAGGCTCGTCCATGCGGCGGCCGATCCATAAGAGGCATTCATCTCTTTTAACGTACTGTGTATTTTCAATCTTCCTATAATAAAAATGATTAAATATTCGAATGATTTTGTATAGTTAGACCTAGCTTGGGTTTGGATAGGTGGTTCGGTATGGATAGGTGGTTAGGTTTTGTTGGCAATTATCGGTGTTGTACAATCCGTCCTTAGGTTAGGTTCATTCCATCCAGGGTCCGACCCCAAGGTCGGACGGGAATGGGTAACAGGGAGTTAAGCAGCTGTTGTGGGGTTGCATCCAGCGGAGGATCGGTAGTTCCACCTTAGCAGTACCTCGTTACAAACCTAAAATATATATACCCAGGCTTCCTGTCCCTCACGACGTAATTATTTAAATATTAAGAACGTTATTTTGCGGCTGGATTAACAACCATTGGATCTTTGTTTGATGATGGATTGAGAGACGCGCTGGGAGACGGGCTGTGAGATATGCTGGGAGACTTGCTGGGAGACGGGCTGGGAGACGGGCTGTGAGATATGCTGGGAGACTTGCTGGGAGACGGGCTGGGAGATATGCTGGGAGACGGGCTGGGAGATATGCTGGGAGACGGGCTGGGAGACGGGCTGGGAGATATGCTGGGAGACGGGCTGGGAGATATGCTGGGAGACGGGCTGGGAGACGGGCTGGGAGATATGCTGGGAGATATGCTGGGAGACGGGCTGGGAGATATGCTGGGAGACGGGCTGGGAGATATGCTGGGAGACGGGCTGGGAGACGGGCTGAGAGATATGCTGGGAGACGGGCTGGGAGATATGCTGGGAGACGGGCTGGGAGATATGCTGG